CTCGTTATAATGAAAGCACTCAAACGGAACGGATGAGCAGATCAGCGAAAACTAAACAAGGGTGATAGGGCCGAACAAAATGAGCTAGACCGGTGGATTAAAACGTTATGTAACAACTAGTCGCAAGTCTTTAATGTAATAATGGTCCGCCCAGCGAGTCCTAGAGTAAAAACGCTTAGGAAGGCCCCCAAACAAACTGATAAATATACCTGTTCCGCTGGTCGCACTTGTGGAATATCGGGTTGTTGCCGCTCAACAGCCGGTACAGGAGAATTATCTAATAGCACTGCCGGTGGAGGCGGAACATCAGCCGTTGCTGCCATTCTCGAGTGCTGTAAGCCAACAGTGATGCAGTAATGCGGTTTTTCCCTTATCGACCGGCTTTCCACTTTCTGCCGCGTTCTAGCTTGTTTGCGACACTTTACATGAGGCGTCGCCCTTAAGTACCTCTGGGGCACGTGACTACCTGTGCTATCGTTATCTCTCCCCCCAAGGTCTCATTTTACCTATTTCCTCTTCCGGTACGGATTTTGAATTCTTCCCAGATAATGAGAATAACTGTTGAATTGCTGACATTTTTCATTGAAATACAAACATTTTGTCTTGTTTGGCTAATCACAAGTCCTTACACGTTCAAATTTTGCGCGTGCGCACAAGTGCTCTGACCATTGAACGTCCACGGACCATGACATAGAATTTGGACAACTTTGGATTCCGGGTGTAATTCCTAATCTCCGGGCGGAATTAGTTCACCTCGCACGGCGCTCCGCGCCAGCTCGGGGATTATTATAACACAAAACAAATAGCAAAATATCCTTCTTATTGAGTGTGTTCCCAACAGACATCAAAACATTTCAATAATCCTTCAAGTCTTGAAAAAGCCTAAAGTTACGCCTGTATTCTAAAAGCTCACTCACACTCAAACTCATTGAGTGGAAGATCTTAATCTTCTTATAACTTTTCAATGGCGGAATTTTTAGTCAAACAATAGCTTGAAAACAGGCTTTACAACAACAACTTTACAACAATGAATGATCGACGGTGTCCTCGTTAAATATGTAAGCGAGTGTACATTAATTACACACGGGGTAGCAACTGTTAAGCGCAATTTGTATTGAAAAACTATCCATTGCCTTTATCGAGGAATTGCCTGATCGTCAAAAAATTTGTTTTCCCTATATGTATTATAGGATGCATTTAAGGTTGGGTACTACATATAACGGTTGGTATATGTCTAAATCACCACCTTTTATATTTATATATCACGACTCGTTCAATCATAAGTATAATTCACGCGATAATAAGAATATAGTGTGCATGCTTTGTTCAAGGTTTTCCAATAGGAAGTCGTGGATCACAGCGCCATTGACGACGTTTCATTGGCTCGAAATTAAGAAATTCTTTTGTATACAAAAAACAAAATTCCATGAAGTATAGACCTATTTACGTGCCAATGCGCTGAGTAAAAAGTAAGGGATCGTCCAGGTTGATTTGACATGCAGAAATTATATGTGGATGGTGCATGCGATGGTGCAGGAGATCAAAATAACCTAACATTACCATTAAGGTATTCAGTTTTGAAAGGATGATGCATTTATACTAGTGCATTATACTTTTGCATTTTTTTTCAACTTCGTTGATCAGCCTGAACCTCGGCCACAGTTTCCCGGCTTCTTTATTATGCATGCATTTTAACAGCCGTTTGGTGACCCAATTACTAACCCAGTGCATGCATAACTTTTTTTAAATTAAGCATTGATGAGTGATAATTTGCAGAAGAAATTATTTTACGACTTATTATTACGAAATTATTTTACGGAGGCTTTGAGTGAATAATCGAAATATTCGTATATAAATGATTGATTTTTTAAGCTCATTTCAGCAACGAATTTTTAGATTTGCTGATACCAATACCAAAAGAAATATAATTTGACCACCAAAACGTTTCACTGAAATCAAGTTTTATACCTCTCTGCTCTGAGTGTAAGTATTAAAATGCATATCTTCAGCAAATATTAGAACGAATATACTTATTGAAATAACCGTACACAATATAGCTGCAATTCGTTTTCAATGAACCAAATATGCATGCATCCATAGCCATAGTTTTAGTAGAGGGTACAGTACGTGCACTGTATATAGTGCACAGCACTGTACGTAGTTTTTGCACAGGGGCGGCGGAACAGGGGGGGCTAGGGGGGCTAAAGCCCCCCCAGAAGTAAAAGTGGGGGGGCTTAGTCCCCCCAAAAAATTTCATGAAGAAAGCCAGAATGGGAGAGCAAATATACAAACTAAGTTACCACGAAGTCGTCAAATTAATGCTCGCCGGCGTATTAAATGCTAATAAGATATCCTATATTGTAATACGGATCAAGTGAATGTAAATTGACTTTCTTTGATCTTTCATAGTTGTCTTTAACAGCAGAATATAAAATATTCGTGGTTGTATATTGTTATTATTTTCGGACCGCCATTTTGTTTGGAAATTATTTTCAGAATTTGAGAGATGATTTTTCAAATGTGGGAGAAATCACTACACGCGCTGTGCCGTTTTCAGTTTGTGTTTGCCCATGAAAAACTACGATGAAAGTGGCAAGTAACACTCTGAAATGGCCATTTCCGAAGATCTAGAGCATTGAAATTCCAAAAAAATTTCGCTCGGCGCCAACCATGGTGGCGCCTCGTGAAATTAGCCCCCCCAAAATATTTTATGTTCCGCCGCCCCTGTTTTTGCAAACCCATATTGGCATATAGGCAAACCAGCAAAACTATAGAGTTTTAAATCACTATAACAGTGCATGCATGACTATAGATTTGGTGAGTAAAAATAGTGCAATTATAGTTTCTACTCTACAATAGTTTTAAGGAAAAAGAGCTATAGTCATATTATTTTGTAAATCTATAGTTAGATTTTGTAAGGGAAACTTGAAGGAGGACTCTTATATTCTCTATATTCGAATTCTCTATCATAGTTCATAAAAGTAGGTTTATCAGTAGGTGTAATTCGAAGAGCGCGCGTCATAATTAAAACATGGTGTTAAATATATTATTATAGGAGTCTCGTCGTATCTAAATTCCGAATATACATTGCAAAATTACTAACATATAAATAAGACTGCCCCCGTGAGCAAATTGCCATGGGTCAGCTGCTCCTTGGTTCCGGGGCCCAAGTACATAGGAGATCGAAGGCGTCTGGGTTTTGACTTTCAGTATTTTCAGTTTTGCCCCGCTATAGCAGCTATGGACAACATGCAATATGGAATCATCTTCCAAAAACTTCGCATCAAATGTAAGGGGAATATATAACAACTGCCTAAAAATAATAGTCAACGTTTCGATTTGTGAGCCTTATTCATCATGAGAGTTAATTGTAACTCTCCTCATACAGGCCTTCAGGTTCGAACTGCGAGAGGCGTTTTTTTTTTATTTAGGCATGCAGTTGTTATACCACATTTGATGCGAATGCAGTTGTTTTACCACATTTGATGTTGTACATATGTAAATATATTTAAATTCATAAAGTGAATTTTTTACGACTTTTATTGTCATCCAATCGACACAATTTAATTTCCGTTTGCTTTGTATATTTATCGTTGAACAGGAACTCTCTTAAACGGGGGCTATGAAAAGTAATGCGTGCCAAAGCATTCGATATACATGCAAGTACTGTATTTCTATTTTTGTTTTTTATTCCTTAACTTCCGCTTTATTGGCACTTTAATTAAACTAGGAAAAACCAATCAGCGATTCATTAACTCACTTCCATATAGCTAATTATCCAGCATGGAAGTCAAACTATAAGATGAGATGTTTGCATCAATTCACATCAAGACAAATTAGCGATGTTCGAAACAGATTTCGTAAAATAAATACAAAGTAGCAAGAACTCTAGCAACTATAGTAAATTAATTGGCAAATGTATCACACGAGTGACAAGGTTCGTCTATATGAGCTTTTAAACTTCATGGCATGCACAGTGAAGTTGAGTGAACATAAAGTTCGAAGAAACTTAATTAGAAAAACTGTAAAAAAAAGCTCTGTATATACTGGTATAGAATCTGGCGCAGCATGAATTAATAACCCTAAACTATATCAGTTATGTACATTCATTTATTTGATTGTACATATACTGTAACATAACAAGATTATATCTTTATCCAATTCCACCCCGGCTCCAGATTTATCAGTGATAGAAAATGGGCATTGTCCATCGGAAGTATATCACTTAACAAGGTGGATTTACGCATTTAGCAAAATAGCATCCGGATGACAGCGTTTATTGAGTAATAGAAACTGTCAGTGAAAGCAACGACATGTCGACTTAATTCCCATATTTTACAGGGGGAAATGCGTGCTGAACATGCTATATCTATACGCGAAACATGCATCACAAAGTGGTGGCTATCAGCGGCAAAAGTATAGAAATGTATTGACGGCTTCAGCATCAAGCAATTCTATTTGTTTGATCTTACCTGAAAAATTACCAGGAGTTTCCTCAAGATATGTTCACGATTTGAAACAGACTGGCCGGTCGATTGTGATAGAGGCATGCAGTTATACGATGAGACATGGAACATGCGTCAGGCAACATGTGCAAAATAATGCTTCATAAACCCATTTCTTTTCAAATATTATCTGTACGTCAAACGAATACGCGCAAAGAAAAGTCCTTCCCATTTTCGAGCAAAAATAGACTATCGTGTCGAACCTCCCACGGGCAAGAAATTTATAGTCGGTTCTGATAATCGAAGCCTCGAAAGTTATACGTCAAAAATTACTGCAAATACGTATGCAGAAAATAGTTCAAGACAAATTAGGAGGCGGCCCTTTGTGCCTCGGAAATTCATGCAGGGACGCAAACTATCAGGGCTGCGTTGTCCACAATGCCTTCCAAGGGTCTTTACAATGTTTGGTTATTGAAACTTAACAAATTTGCACCGTTTTCCCTCAAAAGACAGAGAAAACGTTTTGTTCTATAGAAAAAACATGTTGTTGCTAACCTGCCGCGTCTTCGATGAGCAGTCTGCTTTCTCCTGTTCTATGTTGTTTTAATATTTACGGCCAAGACATTGTGCCTGCAACACAGTCACTTCAGAATATCCCCACACAAGGTGGAGTTATTTGTTTTTTGAGCGGACTGTGGACCTAAACCGTTTAGTACATGTTAACAAGATCACACTGGGCGGTCAATATATTAATTAAACTTGGATATTAGCGCGCTTCATTTGAACGTAAACAGCCTCGAATTGGACAAAATTCACACCATTTCAAAAAAAAGTGTTCCAAAATTGCTTATTTCATTATTTTGTTTTGAATATTATGGGGAAAAGATCATATAAATGCTAATGTTGGCGTTGTACGTTGTTTAATTGCATAAGGCTAATTTGTTTATACAATCCCGCGTAATTCTGATTCTTTGATTGAATTGGATATTTACATATCGCATTATGTACACTAAAACTTGAAAAAAAATCATTTTTATTATTGTCTTTCTTGTATCAAATTATTTCTCTGAATGTAAGTAGTCATTTTATGAGATCTTCTAAGATAAAAATGAAGACATCGTTATGAAATGTTACCTTTCTGTATCTTCAGCATAGACGCAGAGGTGGCATAGAAGTTTTGTACATGGCATTGCATGCTGCATATATAATCCGGCGTCCTATTGATAACCGTATGGATATAGACGTTAAGTTTTATCATGAAAGCTCGGCCATTTAGGTATACATAGAACGCACTTTGCTACTAAACTACACAACTGATGAAACGGTAAATTACACGAATAAAATCGACATAACTGATATACACGTATTATAAGAGGGGGGAGCAGCTGGCATCTTGTATACAAAAACACATGAGGCTTCTTTGTATGGAAGGGGCCTAGGGAAACAGGACCTTTAAGGGAGATGTGAACATTATCAATTTGATCTTTGTGACTTTCGGGTTCATACACTAGCTGTTTTGAAAATCGGAACTGTAGTCGCTTAGTGCGGTTATAATGTTGAAATTACGACCGTGTATAAATCAGTAATACCGGCAAAATAACAAAAGTGCGAATTGGTGAAATTGACAGGTATTCTACCTGCATTACATGAATTTTCAAATATCAATTTCACTCATTCTGAACTACACTGTATTCCAGGTGATATAGCGCTTATATTTTGAGTGAATCAGTCGAAAAGTCGAAATAGACACCCATTCTGCGGTATGTAATCGATTATATATTTCGTTATTGATTATGAAACCAGACCTATACATTACCGATCGTAGTACTAATGATTATCCCTAAGCCGGCGAGGCTACTAATTCCGCTCGGAGATTTATAATTACACCTGGGTATTGTGACAGATCGTGGAGGAAAGCAAAGTTGCCCAAATTCTATGTCATCGAAGTTGGATGGTTTTGTATAACTATATGCGCATGCGCGAAGTTTGAACGAAAAAGACTAGTAATCGGCAACAACCTGATTGGCTGAGGCGGGAAGTTTGTATTTCATCAAACTTTCATCAATTTTTTTAAATAAATATAAAAAATTAAATAAGCAAAGTTATTTATTTATCAGCAAAGAAATCGATAAATAACGCATATACAGATACGGATGAGTGATGAAAGAGGAGCGACAGCAATGGATAAGCTTTCAAGTGTTTTAAACAGGTAGGTGGTGTCATTTGCTGTCACTAAAACTTAAAAGATACAGTTTACTTGTATATGAGCTTGATATGTTGTTTTGCAAAGACATAACTGATTACAAAAAGCTATCACAACATTGCTTTAACTTCAAGAATGTTTTTGAAAGTGCATGTAAATAAGTAAATTTGTTTTTGATAAAACAAATCTCACTTAAAAATGTCGGTTGCAAAATGCCAAGATTTGCAGTAGCTATAAGCATTCAAAGAATAAGTAGCCTCTGATAACATCTGACATTTAGTCCTTGAAGACGCTTTATCAATTGAAGTTTGAACTGGTTTTTCAACCGTTACTTAAGGTGGTGTAATAACAAAAAAATTTCTTCAATTTTCAAAACTATAAAAATCTTTTAATGCCATATTGCAAGCCAAGTTGCTTTGGGGCCGGTTGTATAAAAATCTTAACTACATTTTGCGTAGTTAAATCGTAGTTAACTCAGAAATACATAACTCTGATTGGTCAATTCTGTCCCTAACTATAGTTAAAAGTTAACTATGTTTTTATACAACCATCCCTGAGTGAAAAAAGATTTGTAGGAATCTTCCATCACTACTGTTACCCAGACCAAAAAATAGACGAATTTTGTGAACACGATGACCAACTAGATTTTAACTCTAGAACGACGGAATTGGCTTTATTTAGTTGTAAATATTTTTGCCTCGGGGCTGAACTGGGATAAATAAAACCATTCCAGTATTAAACGTTTTACAGGCTATAAATATAAAACTTCTACGATCTATCTGAAAAAAACAGTCGCTATTTTACTTAGGCTGAACGGAATGAAAAACGTTTAGTTCAACTCCGAGTCAATTATTGTCTTTAGAGTCAACCATAAAAATTTTATCAGTTAGATTTATTATTTTTTTTAGTTATCGTGCGCGAAAGAAAGGGGAATGAGAATTTTAGTTTGCTAAGAAAAGCGACGAAAGAAGTTTTGTATATATTCATAAATTATAGAGAAAAATACAATAGAGCAATGAAACAATAGAATAAGCCAACCGATCCCTTTTTCTCGGGGTAAAACGCTAATTAATAAAACTTTTGTTCAATTCTCGCGTTATTTGTATATTTTTTGGAAAAAAAATTTGCATTTCTTGAAATTTTTAAAACAGAATAACTCATGATCTTTTTGTATTGGACCACCTTAAGCTGCACTGCTGCAATGATTCATAAATTGCCTGCTCAATGCAGCAGAAAAACGAGTGACTGCATGCATGCATGTATTTCTGGTTATCATTACTGGATGCTTAAATTGCATATATAAATTAAAGGCAAAGCGGAGGAGACGATCGTCTGAGAGAGCGGCAATACCAGTGCTATGAATTAAGAGTATAGGGTTATTTAATTGTTTAACAGGTGACACACATGCACACGATTGAGTCACCATTGCAATGTGGGTAAACTGGAACGCTAACTCTTGACAAACAACCCATGCATATTGAAGCCAAAATAGTTCAGTTCTGAGTTGCTGAAATACCTGACGCCAGACGTTGGGCTGTACCTCAAAAGTTATATTTTATGTGGAAATTTCATGGAAATATATGAAAAAATACTAGCACAGGAAACTATATAAAAAACCCAAAACCAATTACCAACCGGCAAAAAAACGGGAAATTTTCAAATATTTTTTATATATTTCCCTTTAAGCTTAACTCTAAAAATTTTTACACGAAATATAACTTTTTAATACCTTTAATTTCATATACGGCTCAACATTTTGCGTTGTATTCCTCTAGATCTTAACTCAGATAAAGTAAAAAGCACTGGCTTCAATTTCCCCTCCTGAGTTATCGTTCCAGTTTGTTTACATGCAGTTCATTGGGAGTCACTCGGAACAGATGCGAATACTGGGCAGAGTATCTATAAGTTTGCCTGACGTCTTTCCTCTGAGTTGATTCACCCGGACAGGCAAGGGGAACGTGGAAAAACTTCCTTAGCCAATAAGTCACAATGAAAAAGGTTAGAAGAAGATTATTCTAGGCCAGGTAGGTGGTAAATTATTGAAGACGTCGTTCTCACCTTTGACAAGTTGCCTGAGGTCGGACTGGAAAATATTTATGAATCTTCATAACAAGATAAGTTATGCCGCGCGTCATCAAGCACATTGGCATTTTTCAACTGAAATGTTATCGCCTCTTTCAGATAAAGCAGCGAACCAGCAGTAATCATTCACCCATGCATTTTACTATATATGCACTGCATCATAGTATGCAAAGTAGGTGGCTAATAATTGATCCAATGAAGTATAATAGGTCGGAAACTTTAGTTTTTATTATAGAAAAATTTGCATGCATGGCAAATGTTTTTAATCAATGCCGGCTCGTCCTTAGTGCAAGAAACAGCACTCGCGGGAATCTTCATGCATTCTTTATCTCGACTATAACGAAACTAAGAAAATAGAAATATTTCATTACGACTAGCTGATTTTGGAAAGAATTTCATTTATACTTCAAATAATTGAGTGGTTCATATTGGAGAAAATTGTTCATAGCCTAAAACTGTGGATATAAATGATGCATCAATCAAGACTGAAGTGCAGATTATTACCAATTATATGTTGCATGCCGTTAATAAAGAAAATCGCCCAAACGCCTACCTCGAATAAATAGGGTTTTTAAGCAACAAAACATGCATTAAAAGTGATACACAGCATCAAGATTTTTTTACGTAAGTAGAGTCTGCAGAGATGATCAAACATTTCATTAAACATTTATCCTATATATAGGATTTTACCGCAATTAAATGAAGTTATCGGAATCATTTCCTGTATACTTCTCATGCATGTTTTCGTATTTTTGATATTAATATAGAGACAACATATATATTTAGCTACAAGAGTAAAAATGACTTTTATGCACATGCAAGAGCCATTTGTTGGATAAATTTTCTATTGTGTACTCCCATGCAGTGCAAGTGAATATAATATTTTTGGCTGAAATGAAGATATTCGCTACAGCTAGGCATAGAGTGGACAAAAGTCAGTGATATATATTTTTCTGCCGCCGAGTCATTCTTGCTGAACCGTATGTTTTCTGTCAAACTAAAAGCACATTACAAAAACACAGGTTAGCAAACTTGTAATAAAATTATATACAGTATACTGTCCAGAAATAACCTGCTGGGACAAAAACCGCAGTTAACCTAGGTCAAACCACAGTTGTCAAACCTCGGTCTGATCGCGGTTGAACCGCGAGGTCAGACCGAGGTCGAACCGCGATGAGACGGAGGTTAGCCTAGGTCTAACTCGGTCTGACGGACATTTCTTAAGATGTTTTCGATATGATTATTGTGTTGTAGTTCTCAGCTGTTCATAACATTCCGTTCGGAACGAACGGCAACCGCGATCGTATGTTTCCGTTGCGGTCGTCTGCGGTTTCTATCGGTCGACCGCAACCGAACTGAATCTATAAATGTATGTTCTACTTGCAGGTCTATGTACTTGTATAGTTTGACATCAATTACAAGGGTATATAGAATAATATGAATGAAAGGCAACATAAAAATATTGATATCTATAATGCAAAGACATCAAAGCAAGTATAATCAAAACCTGCACTGGTTAATTTACTAAATTTTACTTCAATTTATCGTGCTAATCATTTGGTCCATATACTTTAAAATAAAAAAGTCAAACGTTTGCGAATAAATCTTTAGAAAAACAAGACAAATACGCTTTCGCTCGAGCATAAAATGTAGGATTCCGGACCGTGGTCAGATATCGTAAAATTCCTCCCACTGCTACAGCCACTAATAAATAGCTTTGTTATATACAGTAGGTGCTGTGTATTTTAAATGTGATTGATTCATTCGTATAGTCACATGACTTTAAATAAATGCAATGTTTCCGCCAGGTAAACAAGTGAAAAATTCAGTTGCCCACATATTGTCATAACAAAGAAAAGTTTTTTAAACGTGTTTTTGTTCTTATATATAACTAAGCACTTAATGTACACTACCTCCGGAAATAGTGAGTTTTGTTTTCCCTCGAGTTTCAATGCATGTTTCTCTCTACTTCGTCTCGGGAAACATTCAGACCCCAGTTGGGAAAACAAAACTCACCACTTCCCTCGGGAGCATACAAATTAAGTGTATATATAATATTTATCAATCTCTATAGTTGCTTATAATATGTCTTAATTTGAAAAACGACAAGCTCATATATCCAGGTTGATAAACTGCATTTCAGTTATACAACTGGAGTGTACTTGGTTATTAGCAGAATCCATCAGGCAGAGTCCTAGCTGAGTGTAATTCTTTGAAGTTAACTACGATTTTACTTTTCGAAAGATAGTTAATATTTTCTTAGACGCAGTCCTTGGCAGCGGACCGATAGCAGTGCGGGGGCAGCAATTTGCAAATACAAAAAGTCTGTTTCATTCTACCTATGGCAACGACACGCAGGGAAATCTCAAACAGATCTGTAGACTCACAAGTGAACGTATTTTTAATTATATTAAAGTTATCAGAAGGTTAAATAATGAGAAGAGAACGCATCATAATTAAATCATATATATAAATATACCAGTGCCCATTTCATCTGCATGTATAGCCTGAACACGAATAAAATTGGGTACGACTGTATTGGGTATTGGGTAGCCGTGCCGTGCGAATAAAGCGAGTGTATATATAGTGTAAACGTGGCTTATATTGATAATTATAGCACAGGACTTCCTCAAGCTAAATTTAACACTAATACATGCGGAACCGGACAGCGAAACGTGTTTACGTATGCTCTGAAACAACGCTGAAGCACTGGCATATACATCGCTTCAGGCGGAATTTCTGATCGCGACGTTTAGGCCTTGTTTACACTAGAGCGGTTGCTAGTCACAACTCACAACAACTTTGTTCGCCTTCAAAGAGAAACGGTCGGCATACAGCCAATGAATCGTTTACAATAAAATTTTTATAAAGCCGGATGTCTAGATCACGACAGGATTCTTAGAAATTAGAATCCTGTTTACAACCTCCAAAAATTTCCTGGTTCGTGCTGGTAGTGTGGAACGAGTAAACGCCCCGCATTATTTTCACGAAGGGCCGGTAGACAATGAAAATTGAAGGCGGATATTAGAGTCCAGTAAATATTAACTTTCAGTCTGAAGATTTTTTATATATATGCCTGGTATATTTATATAATTATATTTATGCATATATAATAATACTATTTTTGTTGTCCCAGTAGTTGAATGAGGAGTGCTGAATATCAGCAATTAGAGCAATTTAAATTTTTAATCTTAAAATATTGTCATTGCTACACGGTGTTAAAGTAAAGGATCAAAACTTTTCATACGCACGTACACGCACGTAAAAGTATAAATCCTTATACATGTTATATACCTTTGAAAAAATCAAGTGAATAAATCGAAGGAACTTAGTTTTCTACATATTTTAGTATGCATCAGTTGACCTAGATGTTAAGTAATAAAAATTTAAAAGCATTTAAAGCACGTATACGTGCGTATAAAAGACGCGTATAAAGTGGAAAGCAGCCTTAACTGCCAAACGATTGTATACATGCACACGTATACAAAAACGCGCGGTTATTGGAAAAAACGGCATATGGCTCAGTGTTTCGAGCTGTAATGTGCTGAGCCGTAGATTTGTTTTCAGAATTCAAACTAAGCCTAGGCTAAGGTTTCTGGCAGCTGGTGGGGTCGATGTTGCTACAACGTCAACGCGTTTAAGGACCGAATAATGAATTCATGTGTCAGTGTGTGTGTGTTCTGAAGCACTGTATACATAAAGCATCATCTGACAATTCACAGGTAGTTGATTCTGGAGCCGAAATATATTTGGTAAATTCGATCTTGTCTAAATTAGGTAAGCTTATATATAGCAATACATTTTCCTATGTGCCTTGAAATAGAGGTGCATGCATGTTTTTTTTGCAATATTTCGTTATATTGTATATATATACATATATATAGTGTCTATATATCGATTGTAAAATGAATGTTTATTATACGGTGTCGAATCATTTTAAATCTTTCCCTGTGATAAGAATTATTTCTAATTTTTTAGGCATGTAGCTACAACATGCATGATGTAGCTACATAAAGGGGTATATTTTCATTAAGGCTGTTTCCCATTACGCGCGCTACTCAGAACGTAAAGGAAGATCGCCATAACTTTGTTCTTCCGAATACGCCCGATCCGCTATATAGATACCTATAAATTTAAACCTTCATAAAGTCTGTAAGGTTATGTTCAGGACATAATATAGCCACTGGCTCAGCCGGAAATCGCAAGGTTAAATGTATATTGTAATTTTGTAATTAAACTTCTTGAATTTCTGTGTACGTGTAAGTGGATGGAGTCTCTATAATATTCGTTCTTCTTTGTTGCTTTATAAGCAAGCTTGAAGCAAATTGCATGGTTCAATATCAACTATATAGTCTGGCTATTCTTTTATGATATTGATTAAATTTAAATACTTTATAACGTTTAATAATAGAGGTTGCATGAAACATTCTTTGGAAGACCGCCATGCTGCATGGTTCTCTTTTATAACAATCAACACCAAAAAAGTGTAAATTCGCTAGCAGCCTTTAACAAGTTGTTCTAAGCATTGCCATCGGTCGATCGATTTACATAACTGAATACATGCTATTGTATTGATATATAATATGTTGTTATCGTGAATATTCACCTATATAGACTTCGTCGAATATTCAACGTTTTTACTCGACTATAATAATGGTTTAATATTACAGGTTACAGACTACGATATTTTCTGTCAAATCTTCTTCAGTATGAGCAACGGCAGAGAAAACTAATTATCCTGTGTAATTTTGTTGTTTTATTTTCTTAAGTCGCCTACACTGCGATATTGCTTTGCTTGTGTCTGGGCACCTGACCATTCGAACTTCGCTTTAACGTCACACAAAGTGTACACATATTTAATATGTTTGTGTCACAGGGTAAACACAACGAACTTATCATTTTCTAGTAAGCTTGACAAGCAATAAGTCATTATCAAGTTGCTAAATTTCAGCAATATGACACTGGAATTTTTCATACCGGATGTCATGATCATAGGTGTTTTTTAGCCCTATAGCTTAAAGAGGTTTCCCTGTTGCAAGAATGCGGAACCAGGAAGTGAATACGCTATACTTGTAGCTGCACGTCTGCTACGAAGTTAATTTAGGTGCGGTCTGGCATCGTGCGAGGCCACAATTTCTCATTCGGAAGTTTGAATAAAAATTTTGGCGTCATTTGCTTGTTTGGACACGCGGGTAGGTTCACTTATAAATTGTATATACGTAATTTCATTTTAATGTGGCATATGTTTCACAAATGCGATTCTATTAATGTAATACAGCTAGCTTAGCATTATATTTTTGCATCTATATACCATCAGCACACACGATCACCAACGGCAACCACCTTGACTTAATGAAACACATGCAGCTGCATGAAAGGCTGACGTACATATCATGTACATTTCAAAACGTACGAAAGTAGATCATTGTAATTGGCGAGATCAGCTGAGGTCTGATGCATTTCTGATTATAACTAGAATTTCCGAAGCGTAATTGTATATACACTATACGTATATCATACTCACGCACTTAAAGGCGTAACCTTATAAGTAAGACAGGAAGTTTAGCACATAGTATCAACAAGAAATGTTTGAACATATAATTTCTTACATTTTGACAAAGGTTAATATTTGTTTTTAATCCATGCATATATAGTATTTATCATTGTCGCGGCCACGAGAGTCAGCAGTAATTTGTCCATGCGATTATACGAACTCTAATCGAGATTGGGCATAAGCATGAAATGCGCAACTCGATAAATCCAATATATTATAACTTAAGGTTATTCATCTTCTCTTTTCGTCAAAACGTTTTGCTTTTGGTTCGGCCGTCATTGCATATCTATTCTGTTATATTTTGTCCGCTGTCTTACGATCAATTTTTGTCCTATCCAATTCACTTCTGATGGATGTTTTTTTCTGTTACCTTGCAACGCATATACACAGAAAATTAACTATAGTCATATTGCAGTACTGCCCTATCAATAACAAAATACATTCCATACGTCAGAAGTGAATTGGATCCGACTACGTTGGATCGTGTATATACGCGAAAATTAGCTATATACTACAGTATAACGAACAAAGAAACGCTTTGCTATATACTATATAAGTATAACGAACAAAGAAACGCTTTGTTGCAGTATAAGGAACAAAGAACGAACAAAGTCAAAGAATCCAGAGTAGCATACACGACTTGATCAGAGAGCTACAATAAGCTATAGCAGCTATAAGCACAAGAAAAATGTAGAAGATCAAACGTTCTATAGAGAAGCTGATCGAACGTGAAAGTGTAACAGAATGTGTGGTATTTTAATCATTTAATGATTGCATGAAAAAACAGCAACCTATATCTGGCATCATGAATCTTGTTATTATATATATACGAGATCTCTGTATTGGACTTTTTTTACACTTTGTTTTGCCTGGCCTCTCAAGGCGCGTAATATCTCATTATCATTGTTTCTTCTATGATCGAAAGTTCTGTTATAAAAACATGTTTATTGACGCGGTTGAAGGAAGTTTTTTTGCACGGGGAATGTACTTTTGTGACCAGAATTAAACATAATTATTGAGAAATGTTCTCTGGTTGAAATATTAATTTATAACAAGCCACTTCCTGGACAATATACGATGCTTATAAAACGTTGAAAAACGTTATTTGCTTGTAATTGCATCATATTTCATTGTTAGTGTCCTTTTAAAATTTGTATTCTACCCGTTGAAGGCTGATCGATAGACTGATAGCCGAAAGCTAGTAGGGCCTAATCAATTAATATTTCAACCAGAGAACGCTTTTCAAAATAAGGTTCTTCGTTCTCCTTCAAATCGTAATTTTATTATTAACGTTTTTAAATTATCATCACGATTAATATTTTCTGGTTGTTCTCGTCCTGCTAAGCTACAAGCAACCTGGTATCATTTCTGTTGTTACTGATCCTTATACATAATCTCTGTATTGGGTCTTTCTTTACATTGCGCGAAAAATCTTATCTTTGTTCGATCCGTCCACCAACGCTAATTGTGGTGTGTCGTCTATAAGAACGCGTAGGATTACAGAACCTCTGTTCTAGAGGCATGTTAATTATTTAATCAGAGGAAGTTTTTTGTATGGAGAGAAAAACTTTATACCTAATTAAACAATGGATATCGTAATATTTAGCGATTTATAAAACTCTCCCGTTATATATAGCTGATAATTGTTGACGATAATTGATGCAATTGCACGAACTGAAGTTGTCTTGAAAATCCATCCCCCATGTATATCAATCATACAGTTTGCAATAATTAAGTATATGAAATCGAAGTCGTCTTCCCAACGTTTCCTCCATCAATATTTTATGAAATTTGAATTACATATATTATATTTCGACTCAGGAATTCGAGTCTTCTCTTAAGAATCATACGACTCTAGTACAAGAATCTTTAAGATCGATTGAACAGGTGGTCATTTGCATTGGATATTGTGTTTGTGTATAATCTCCTTTTATAGATATTTCATTGTTCCAGAGATGACCAGTGACTAAAAAGGGATGGTTGGGAATAACTCAAACAATTCTATATCCACTCTTTAGTTAGCTGCAGCCTTTCCTTTCTGGTTTTGTAAAAAAGATCAAATACAGATAGTGAGAATCCAGCATCTATTCTCACCAGCGTGATCATTGAATTTAACTTTTTTATCTAGATATACAGTACAGAACAGGATCGTTCAGTGAGGCAAGCACAACATATGAAATCGAAAGATGAATAACAAATCCCTCAACACAGGATTAGAAGAGTGCTCCATTGCTGGCTACCCATATTACGTTATTGAAGAATTCCCTTCAAATGAATATGTCATCAGCCAAGTCGTTTCCTCTGTGATATGCGCTGTCCTAACCATACCGGTGATACTTTTGAATGGTATAACCGTCCTCACAATATTGAAAAGTAAAATTTTGGGCAGTAAAATTTGCCATTTTCCCGTTCTTATTCAATCAATGGCCGACTTGACTGTCGGATTCCTTACGCTTCCATTGTTCACGTTTCTTCATCTCAGCGAAGTTTACGGTGGGGTAAACTGCAAGTTAAGTTTCGCACTTTCGACAATCGCATTCATACCGTGGGGACTGTCGCTGGCATCTTTATGCGCGCTAACCTTCGAGAGATACATGGGTGTCTTGCATCCAATTGCCCATCGCATTTACCTTCGAAAGAAGACATTTGTGATGTACACTGTTGGGGTGATATTGGTCACATTTGTCATCGTGCCATTAGCTGGAGTATCAGTGATATTTTACTACATATTTTGCGGTGCCTATGCGATTATTCCTTTCTTCCTCCACACATTTTGCTACGCTCGTATCTTATGCTCGACAAGGAAAAGATTGCGACACCCAAGATACAGCACGAGCAACAGCACAAGCAGCGACCAAAGCGAACAAAAACCTCAGACAGGTCGTACTGCAAGACGGTATTCCCTGAGAGAGGTAAAGCTGACTAAGTCCTGTGCGCTGGTCGTTGGCACATTCTACATCTGCTGCATTCCCGGCGAGTTTCTCAACATTTACTATTTGGAAAAAAGCCTGATAATCTATCGAGTCGTGATTTCGTGGTATGTTGCAACTCTCGGAGTTAATACCATACTTAACTCGATCATCTTCTTTTGGACAAGGCCAATTTTGAGAAAGGAAGCCTTCAAGGTGTTGAAAAGTATCTGTTAGGTTACGGCCCAATTCAAACGTCGAACGAACCTTTATAATCCTTATTATTTATAATTATAAAGAGATGTTTCAGATAATAGTTTCTGAAGCCCATTGCATGGGAAAATTCATAATAACAAGTCATTTATATAACTGCATATTTGTGTAAAATACACAGAAAGACAATATCTATAATGAAGTATGTTGCTGCAGTGCTTACTCACATCGTATAACCTGGGTAATGCATACAGATTCTCATAAGAACACACGAAATCTGACTTGCTGAACACCGAGATTTTTGTAGGTCGTTTGGGCGAAAAAATCTTAAATACTTGGCATGCAGTTCTTGCTATTTCGATGCTTGAATGGCATGTAAAATATTCAGGGAATTTGTATATATATATATATATATATATTAATATATATATATATATATATATATATATATATATATATATATATATCATGATTATATCTATCATATATAAACATGTACTAACTGAAATACTTCAGCTAGTAAAACAGGCTGAGTCTGTATAACGTTAGATGCTGTACACACAAACATTGCATGTCATTGTGTCTAAAAATTATACAACTTTTGAAATAGTTATCGGAATTTCTTCTGTGGCCGCGGTTGTTCGAAAGGCGTTAAGCTTAAACGATGGATAAGCCAAAGTTTCAAAATACTCTCATACATCTTGTGAATGACTGCAACTACATCTTATGCATTTAGTCCATTAGAAATAAAGCTATTTACATGGAAATATTTCTGCTCATTTGTCCAATAAATATGTGATTTTGTTTTCCATTTTTAAATTATCCGCCGTTTAAGCTATGCGCGCCTCTAGAACAACCGGCCATTGGATTTTCCATAGCGGCAGAGTTTGTACTGTTGTTGTGTAAACGACCTTTAATATTATAATTTATGTTAATTAATATATTTAATCATATAATTAAAGTATATGGTATATACACATTATATAACCACGCTTCCTCTTGTATATATGCACATTAACCATGCACGCTTGCACTGCAGGTTAGTGGCAAGAGCATTGCACCGGCATTGCAAAAGCGTAGATTCGATTCCTGAGGACCGATAGTGTGTCAGCATAATTCCACTCGAAATTAAGACCCTTTGAACCTCTAGAATTTACCTGCATAGAGTGAAGTGCCAAAAATCATAATATATTATAGCTATGCCTAATGTGCTCTCTTCGCACGGATAATATTATTGAGTCCTAATATTATTGAAAGTACATCCTCCTATGGATCTGCTGCAACTGACCTGTGTCTACCTTAGTTTAGGCTTTCTCTCGGTGTGCATGGCCTTTTCTAAAACTTTGCCCCCACCGCCAACAATTCCATCCGGCCCCCCTACATTATTCACCGAAGGCGAAGCCGGAATATTATTGTAAAAACTAAAATAAAAACCAAGACAAAGTTGAAGTTTCTCTCAGTGTAATTAACTGAGCCTAAGGTAAATACTCTTTTTACAATCGTTAACAAACATCTAAACAATTTAAAGTTTAATTTAATAACGGTGCATGGTTTTCGCAAAGTTAACCACCAATCTACCTGCAACGTATAGTTTAGTTTAGAAACTTAAAAATAAATTTAGGCTTCAAATCATTTTTTTCAAAGTTTTTTTTTATTTTTTGTAATAACCCGAGGTCGTTTGTCACATAAATTTTCTTGTAGCTGATCACAAAACGTGCCGTGCCGTTTTGCGTACGCTCCGGGTAACTCTGGAACACTGCAGATTGTAAAATAACAATGACGTCGAAAATGACGCGATGCTCTTCCGCGCATAACTCCTCAAATCAAGTCTAACGCCAGAGTCCAAGTAGACCAATTTGTTTGAACTTGCGAAACATGGTGATTTATTAGAGGGAAGATGTTGCGAGGAGTTTCTCGTACTATTTTCACGGTTAACATGCATATCCAATCTATGATTGTCTATACGACTTTAACTTCCTGCCCTTCCTGATATTGTTCAAATTAACGTCCTGCATGTCATGTGACTGTGTCTGTGACAATTATAAATTATTGGACGAGGTCGAGCAAAATATCGTGATTTGTCGGTGGCGAGCAGATCAATTATTTGCCGATGCCGAAGGCAGAGGCAAATAATTGATCTGCGAGCCACCGACAAATCACGATATTTTGCGAGAACCGAGTTCAATAATTGTTTTATCATTCACCACTCAATTTTCAATTCATTCACCACTTAATTTTCAATTTTGAGTTCGTTTTATCGGACAGTTCGGCAAAGCGAGTCGCCATTGTTTATAAAATTGACATTAATGCGCATGCTCAGAGTATTATTTGCAGCTGAGTATTATTTGCACGCAGTTAACTGCAGGTAAATTCACCAATCAAAATTGAGAATACTATAAGTGAATGATAATACCTGTTACATCACATCATGCCGTGTTTTCAATTGTGACACGGATTTAAAGACTTCCTTACCTGAATACTTAATTTACTGTAAATATATCTCCGACGTCTCATTCAAACTATTCTTAACAGTCAACACTATACAAACCTAGGCCTGTCACATTATTCACTATAGGCATTCTACTTTAAACGTCATGTGATTCTTGTCAGGAAGTAGATTATTGGCTAGATTAGACCGGCTATATTGATTTAATTTCAGCCAATCTTTCGTTGAATGTTTACATATTTAAACACCCGCTTTCATGAACAAAAAACTGCTTTCTGCATGTCAGTTCTACTTGCCCCTAAATATTTTTATTTCAATTTCTGTTGATTTTTTTTAAATCTCTGGGAACTGAACTTTCAAAAAGTGTTTTAATTCCCTCTTTATCATTTCGTTCTAGCTACTCACCGCGTATAACTATGAGTATGAGCAAATATACGGTATCTCCACTAATCAGATTCCATGCCTGATAGTTCATACACATGCAGTATAAAGCTATATTATAAATACGCATATATATAATATTACTGAAATAATATTTCGACTGAAAAAGTCTGAATTATACTACAATAAATACCATGCCTTTGGCCTATGGTGATTATACGGTTATCATCTACTTTAACTTCATCTATTACTTAACAATTATACTTGACGAACGAGCGGCATATATGTATATAATACGTTTATTTTCTAATTCAACGTGTTGATCATCGATAATGGCACAAAATGGTATTCTTCTTTAATTTCCTGTTTTTCTAAGTTGCGTGCACGATAATGTACTTGCTTGTGGCCGATTGTTCTGGTGGCATCTGACTAAGCTCTTGAATGGCGCTGGGACGTGTGTCACGTCAAGTAAACTATGCTGGCAAGCCTTTCATGCTTAACTGTAGTCATTAGGGCAGAGTCAGGCATCGTGTGAACTGGTATAAATTTTTCATTCAGAAGCTGAAGAGTCTCTCGTTTTTTCCCTGAGGTAGGTGCACTAGCTGTATGATCCATATAGGACTCGATTACGCTGTAATGGTAATTTTTTAGCTTATGACAAGCACCGTGTACTTTCACAATCAGCAACGCTTGCTGGCGACCATTTTAAATTCGTTAATTAGAGAAATGAAAGCTGCATGCCGCGTGTAATCAGGCACGCATGCATGCATTACCAAAAACATGCGTGTAAAAAAGCTTTATTAATTGGCAAGATCATTGCATGGGTGAGAGCTTAGTACAGGCTCTCGTTTCCTTATTGTGGTTCTCGTTAATTCTCATTTCTACAGCACAATCGAGCAATGAAAGAAGCGGAACAAATGAACATTAAGATATAGTTACTAGCTGAATGGAAATACAATTACCCATATTTCGCAAACTGCATGGTATAAGATTGAATGTCATATCGACATACTGGTTTAATCAGTCATTTATTACGAATTCACGTTGATTTCACGCGATTATCATTAAAGCAAGCCCGCAGGAAATTACCGTTCAACTTGTTTTGCTTTGAGCTTATATTGTACAAAAATCGTGAAGTACGAAAAACACAGAGATGACAAGTTAATTCGACAGTGAACTATCGTGACAAATTATAACGTTTTGTGTAATAATTATTAATGATTTTAGTGAATACATATTTCTAATGCTAAGGGTTTACTTTTTTTGTTAACTTATTACTTGTTACCTATTAGTACTGAACAATAAGACACTTTCTATATATGCATATATATATATATATATATATATATATATATATATATATATTATATATATATATAATATTATATATAATATATATATATATATATATATATATATATATACAATTCTGGCTGCCTGGAGTGTACAATAATTAGAGCTACTATGCGTTATTTTTGGTCACCTGTCATCATGCTAGACGCACTGCCGGCCCATGAGATTTGAAAAGTTGTATCGAATCATCAAACTGCATGGTAAGCAGCTATATAGGAAGCAACTTTTGTCTTTAATTAAAAATTAATTATCAATTTCAAATGCATTAGCTCTATATAGTAAGAGAATACAATAAAAAATTATAATAATTGGTGATGTAATACGCCAGTTTCAAAGTACAATACGTTATAAGCCTCGTCCCCTGGCGCTTTAAATAAAAATATATATAGGAACACTACAGGCTTTTACATAGAACAGTGGCTAAGCTAAGTGAGCGCGCAGGGGATTTGGGGGAGGTCGCGGGGAACCGAAGCAAGCGCCTAACAGAAAATGCATAAAACATGGCAACGACGATTTATTATTCATAAATGCAAATGAGGAACTTTTAAATTTCTGTCCGAATTGGAAAGACCTATTCACAGAAATGTATGCATGGAAAAGAAAGTTTTATGTCCAAACAATGAGTGTTTGGAGAGAAAATATTTTTTTGTTGAAAATGATATCGCACATCATTTCCGAATAAAGCATAGGCAAGAATTTTCAAGCGAGGCAAAAGGCAAGTCCATCCGGATTTGCAAAATATATGAAGAAGCCGAAACAAGAAAGTGCATGAATAAGATATTTGATCATCGTAAAACAAAGGTATGCACCTCTATATACAATTTTCAACTTTTCAATATATCATTTGCCGTTTGAATGGAATATTTTTATGATATATTTCACAGAAAGAAATTTACAAAGATGTAAATGTTATAGCCTGTGGTCGTGAAATGGAGTGTGTAGTGCGAAATGAGCGTGAAGCTGTGTAATTTATTTGCCTGCTGTTGTATTATGGCGGAGCCCTTCATTCCAAGAGCAAAGGAAATAAACCATGCGATGTTGTTAAAACGTACTAAATAAATTATTACCACCAAATGAGAGCTCCTTCGATCAGCGATGCTCCAGTTCATCCATACTAGTGTCCACATTAAGACCACAAAGGGCCAGGCACAACTACCAAAAACGCAAGAACGCACGAGTAAAACGACGAAAAGCTCAATTTGTCAG